CAAATGGGGTAAAACATGTACAAACTTGAAAGTATTCAACATAACCTAGAAGATTGCACTAAATCTGACACCGTAAGAATGGACGTGTAAAAACATTCATAGTTGAGGAGTTTTTACGTAATTTGACATTACTTTAGGAGTGGCCATAATTTTTTTTCTTAAGACTTTAGATTATTGAGAAAATTATATTGGTATCTATTTAATAATATATAATTGCAATAGTTAAATATACTTACGCAATGGCTTGGCGAATAGCACGGAGATGACGACTGTAGAAATCAATTCTTTGTGGATCTCGAGTGAGGTTTTTCATGGTGTCATTGTTCTGGTCGCCCAGACCTAAATAAATAATATAAATTAAATTCTTAAAGAATTTTTTTATTGAACATAAAAATTGTTAAAATAAAATATATTTAGAAAAAATTACCGTTTTCCGTAACGTAAATCGGAGGGTTGTTGTATTTCTCCTTGGTGTAAACAAGAAGATCGTGAAGTCCTTTCGGGTAACTAAAAAATACGCTCACTCCGGTCTACAAATATCAAGAATTGCATTATTATTTAAAAAAAAATGAAGATACATTAAAAAATATATATATATATATAATTATAAATATAAAGTCCGAGTTTTATCTTAACGATGATGACTTACCGGCGGACCAATCGGCACACCGTTTCTTTCAGCTGCCAAATAATTAAGAAATACAGTTAACTCTCTATAAATTAATACAATTTGAATTAGGGAAATTCTATTAATTTAGCGAATTATTAAATTATCGATTTAATAATTTAATACGTTTTCACCGAATCGGGACCGAGAGAAATTATTATTTAATCGATGTTATTAATTTATCGAGGTTCTACCGTAACACATTAACTTAATATTATCGTAATCTTATATTACAAATATATTAACTCCGTTTAGTATTTCTCCGTTATTTACGATTTTTTGAATTTTTTTTTTCTTTTCGAAAACTTACTTGAAAGACGAGACATTCGATCCGAAGTGCTGCTAACGTTTCCGTCGCGAGTTAGAATATGTGCTGCATAATTCCCAGTATAATAATTCAGTCCCAGGAAATCGAACGACCCTTTTAGCAACGAACTTTGCTCCTTGGTAAACTGTGGCAATCGACTTCCCGTAATCGGTCTCATTGCTCTCGGATATTCCCCGTATACTACTGGATGAATAAACCTTCCCAAAATTAAAATAAAAAATGAAATAAATTAGGAACGATCATCAATATTTAAACTACTTAGTTACAAACTACAAGTCTAGCATCAACCTAATCAAAACGCACATCGATTAAAACGCATATACAATTAAACCTCTGTAAATTAATACAGTCGGCTGCGGAAATTCTATTAATTTAGTGAAATATTAAATTATCGAGTTAATAATTTAGCACGTTCTCACCTAGTTGGGACCAGAAGTATTTATTATTTAAGCACAGTTAAACTTCTATAAATTAATACAGCCGACTGCGGAAATTCTATTAATTTAGAGAAAGATTAGCACATTCTCACCTAGTTGGGACCAGAAGTATTTATTATTTAAGCGAGATCATTAATTTATCGAGGTTCTTCTGTATATAAATTGCACTTACCATCCATAAATAAAATCGAGGGCTCGTTGCGCTGCTTTGACATCTAATTTACTATTCGAATACGGCACAAACCAATGAGTCACTAGTGTTATCCCTATTTCACCCTTTTGAGCTGCCTAAATAAACATAATCAAAATAGCTTGTTATTTATTTATGAGGTAATTAATTTATTTATTTATTTGTAGTATATATATACATATATAACTACTATACCTTGTATTTTTGCCTGTATAATTTAACAGTTGCAGCATGGCTAATAAGTATATGGTGACCGGCGACGTAAGGCTCGGTTGCCGAGTCACCTTGGGCGCAATTGCCCCACGAAGAGCACCGCCCCGGAGCTAGGCTGCCGGCAAAGCCACCGTCGTAGCCCGTGCTTACGAATATAAACGGCTCGTTGAAAGTGATCCAATGCTTAACACGGTCTCCGAATTCCTTAAAGCAAAGATCCGCAAAATCTAAATAATCGTCTCTGCACGCGCGCGAATCAATGCCGCCACATTTATTTAAGCACATGTTCATTTATTAATTAATTCATATTATTATGAATTTTTTTTAAAAAAAATAGGTTTAATTTACTTACACAATTAGTGGACTTAGGAAGCCTCTATATTCATCCTCTAGTGCTTGAGGGAGGTCCCAATGAAATATTGTCACAAATGGTTTTATCCCTATTGAATTAATCAATCAATTTACAAAATTAAATATATAAAATAAAATTAAATTAGTGAAAATCAATTGAATTAGTATATAAAATTTTCACCATTTGCAAGGAGTTCATTGATGACATTGTTGTAAAATGCAATCCCTTCTTTGTTCACTCCTCTACTAAGCTTTCCACCTTAGCATTAATTAAGCAGTTAATTATAATTAAAATTTAACTAGTAAATAATGAAATCTTCATTATACATGAAATTAGCTGAGAAATAAATAATATAAGTATTTTTTTACTCAAAACGTCGAATATTTAGGCATTATAGTAAGAAATAAATTCGACGCTTACGAGGTATTAATCGTGGCCAGGAAATGGACATTCGGAAAACATCCAGTCCTAAATACTTCATCAATTTTATATCCTCCTGCCATAGTAATTTTTTTTATAAGTGATAAAAATAAAATGAGACTTATTATATTCGTATATCGTTATTAATTGAATCTTAGAAAATAAAATAACAGAAAAATTCTACCTTATATCGATGATAAAAGTCAAGAGCGACGTCCCCATTGCTCCGATCAGCTATTTTTCCTGTAAGAAAAAGTTTTCAATGTTTTAAGGGCGAAAACTGAATATCCCTAATCTTTGAGGGTTAATCGCAAAACTAAATTAGCTATTTTCTCTAACAGTCCCCCAACTTCTACAAAATGTTCAAAAAAAACCCCTGTACATTTTCTGACATAATTTATAGTCTGTCGACAATTATTCAAAAATCAAAATTATTTTCATTTCAAAAATCAATTATTGTCTCGAATGTGATACAATTTGTCACCGACATTAAAAAAATATCAATAAATATTGTGACTGTACAAAAAAATGTAATAAATATATACGATACATTAATCATACATGCAACCAGCTAGGGATGGTAAACGAGCTGAGCCGGCTCGTGGACTCGACGAGCCGACTCAACAAAAGCTCGAGCTCGAACTCGAGCCCGATTATAGTTGTTCGACAATAACTCGCGAACTGGCTCACGAGCTTCTTATTTTCTTATATATATATAAACTATACAATAAAATCGAAATAATTATTATTTTATAAAAAAATAGAATTATTTTTAATAATGAGCTAATTAATTTTAAAGCTCGAGCCTGGATATCTCAACTCGTCAGCTCGAGCTCGAGCCTTCCAAAAGAGGCGAGCTCGGCTAATTCGAATATGTAGAAAGAGAAATCAGACCTGGAAATTGATGAGTGAAAGTATCCCAAATACTAGGTCCTTTCCCACCTTCAAATGCAGCACCTTCAAACTGTATAGTGAATAATATATATTTCCATCATTAAATAAATATTATATACAATATTAAATAATTAATTAGTAATAATAAATAATTATAGAAAAAATAAATAAAAAAATACTTGATAAGCAGAAGAAGCAGCTCCAAAAAGAAAACCAGGTGGAAAATCAGTACGATTGAAAGGCTTAGATTCATAGACATGTTTTGCTCCTGCAAATGAAGAACAACTTAGAAACAAGAAAATGGCTACACGTGGAGCTATATTATTGGTAGCCATTTGTTCTGTGATGCATGTGAAAAACTATACATTTTTTATGCCCTATTAATAGAAGCATATGGGTGTAGGGTGGGGGGTGGGGTAAGGTGAGTGGTGGGGGTGTATGGAAATTGGAACATTAATTATAAATTTCAATGATTCTTATCCGAAAAATCTATGATTTTGATGGAATTAAAAAGAAAAAAAAACTACTTATTTTTGCTAGTTTTTTTTATTAGGAGTGTTATTATTATCCGAGTTATAACTTATATATTGAACCATATTAGTTAAAAAATAGATATATCACATATTATCTGAGTTATAATTTATATGTCGAACGGACGTTATTCAGATTGAGTCATAGTAGACTTAAACTCAATTCATATATAATCAAATTTAATAAAATAGCTCAACCTCGATCAGATTCGCTGAAAATTAAATTCAACTCAAGTACAATTGGGTCGAGCAATCGTGCTTCGATTAACGTGCTCAAAATTACGGTTCCTAATCATTATGCAATCCATGAGGGCATTTTTTAAAAATAACCATCCACGTATTTCACGAGTGCAATCCACAATTCCACATGATTACATTTCAAAAAGACCCGTCTTGAGATTTGAGATCCATCAAGTTGACATTTCAAAATAATAGTCAACGCGTATCAATTACCAATCACAAAATTTTCAAATACATGTTGCAATTATTTTAAATATATGACAACGCACACCAATAATTACAAAGCAAGCAACTACAAATTGACAATAAAAATTGAAAGAAAGACAAAAAAGAAAAATCTATCAAGCAAATTAAGTAGCTTATAAGGCAACCCAAATAGACGAGTGATGGCGTTTACAATAGCTTTTACAAACATATTATGAACTTATATAATCTATTTTTATGTCTTTGGAAAATAAACTTTTGATTTTATTTCTCTTAAAAATACCAGCTTTAAGCTATAATATGTAAAACATCAATGTTTGTGTCTTTTCTATTTAAGTTATTTTTTTAACAAATTAAAAAATAAGTACTTAAAATCAACTTAACTTACAAGCATAAATTTTATTTTTAAATAAGTTTTTGCAGACACAACATATATAGCAAGTACAGACTCGCGCAGAAGTAATAGGACTAGAGCCTAGAGGGGATGTTAATAATTGTAGCTACCTAGTGGAAAATAAAACTTGTCTCTTCGACAAAATAATTCTAAAGGGACGTCGTTGTTAGATTGAAACAAATGATAGGGGTTTTAATAATTGGTTTTGGTAATTATATAATCTATCTTGAGGGTACTTTATATACCATTACAAAATTTGTTTTAAGAAATTTGGCTAGTTAGTCAAAAGGGTTTTTTTATGATAATTATGAAAATTTGAGGGATCTTTTTGATAATTAAACCTTAGTTCAGCTGGATTTTGGTAATATTCCCAAAAAAACTTATGTGCAGCCAACTAAAATTGTTGCTCTATAAATACTAAATAAAAAAAACACATTAACATGATTCATGCGGAAAAATATTAAATAATCAAGGTTATTTTAGTCATTTAATGTGATTTTCCCTTAAAATCAAGACACAATTATTGAAATCATTAAAATACTTGCTACAAAACTGAAAACCGACAATTAATGAAAAACGAAGACAGTAATTTATTACCAAAAGAACTTCCACACAACATTTATTTTATAGCCGAGCAAATTAAACGGTCATTAGAGAAGATGCCGATAATTTATTTAACAAAGTTAAATCGGCTCTAATAGGAAACGATGGTAGTTTCGCTCCAAAAAACGCGAATTCAAATCGCGCTTATTTAATTTTTTGGATGCACTTCTTGAACCAAAGTGCTGATTTCTTGGGAATTCTTTTAAGCCCGTTTTTGTAATCCACGTAGACAAGCCCGAACCGTTGTGTATATCCGGAGCCCCATTCGAAATTATCCAAAAATGACCATGCAATAAATCCCTTAACATTTACGCCTTCACTGTCATCACAAAATTCAGCAGAATCTCCATAAATTAATAACATCGTATAATTTTAGATTTTTGAGAAAGTTTTAATAGTATTTAATATTATTTATGGCAATAGTTAATAGTTAAAGATATTTACGCAATGGCTTTTCGAATAGCATGGAGATGACGATTGTAGAAATCGATTCGTTGTGGATCTTGAGTGAGGTGTTCCATGGTGTCATTGTTCTCGTCGCCGAGACCTAACAAAGTAATATAAATTAAATTCGAAAAATAAAATTATATCAAACAAATATATCTAAACAATACCGTTTTCGGTGATGTAAATCGGGGGGTTGTTGTATTTCTCCTTGGTGTAGACTAGAAGATCGTGAAGTCCTTTCGGGTAGCTATAAAATATGCTAACTCCGGTCTGAAAATTTCCTTTTAATGAGAAATTACATTATCAATAAAAATTAAAGATACTTTTAAAATTATATACAATAAATTCGGGTTTTTTTTTTTTTTTTTTTTTTTTCTGATGACGACTTACTGGATCACCGATCTGCACACCATTAATATCAGCTGCCAAAGAATTAAGAAAAAATAACATTAATTTTATAAGATTTAATCTTTTAACTATTGTAATCAAATTTTTGGATTTATTTTTTTCTTTTTTCGAAAACTTACTTGAGAGACGAACCATTTGATCGGAAGTGCTGCTAACGTTTCCGTTGCGAGTTAGAATATGTGCTGCATAATTCCCGGTATAATAATTCAGTCCTATAAAATCATACGATCCCTTCAATAACGCACTTTGCTCCGTCGTAAATCGTGGCAATCGACTACCAGCAATTGGTCTCATTGTTCTTGGATATTCACCGTATACTACTGGATGAATAAACCTTCCAAAAATATAATAAAAAAGATCATTAATCCACATTTTATTAATTTAAAAAAACAAAAAAACAATATAGATTGTATTAGTGAATTAGTGAATAAAATGCATATAGATTATACTTACCATCCAAAAACAAAATCGAGGGCTCGTTGTGCTGCTATAACATCGAGTCTGCT